GTGGATTTAATTGTGTAACTATGCAAAACTCTATATCATCATTAAACAAAATCAATTAAAATGAGGGAAAAGCTCTCCCTTGAAAGCAAAAGCGGAATGAAACAAATGAACCTAACTATGTATCATGTCATTGATGAATTAAACTCAGCAGAATTATTTCAACTGGCAAATGCAAAGTAATTTGTCTGTTCTGCTAGTGGGGTATAGCCTAAGGCAAAAAGAACTGCAAAGAAACCTTAAATTGTTTTTAGTAATGATAGTGTTAGTAGTATACCGGTATTGTTTTTCTGAAACCATTATATACATTTTCTCTATGTATATGTTAGGATCAAGGAAAAAAATTGTGTTAATGTCACTGGAAACAAGGATGTCAGCTTAAAAGAGATACAAATATAAAGTCAAATATAGTAGGTAAACAATTGTTTGCTATGTGAATTATATATCAATAAAGCTGTTTTTAAAAAGAAAAAGAAGATAAATACAAATCTTATAATCCTAATTTTGTATTGGAAATACTAGTTACAAATGAATGATGTATTCTTTTCCTCAAAAAATTAATTCCCACCCTGAGCAATATAGTGAGACTCCATCTCTACAAAAAATAAAAAATAAGTCAGGTGTGGTGGCTCATGCCTGTAGTCCTAGCTATGCTGGAGGCTGAGGTGGAAGGAATGCTTGAGCCCAAGAGTTTGAGGTTGTAGTAAACACAGATCACACCACTATACTCTAACCTGGGCAATGGAGCAAGAGCCTGTCTCAAAAAAAAATTATAGTCAAAATTTTAGGTGTGATAATGCTTTAAGAAAGGTTGTTGAGGTATGGTTTACATTTTAAGGTATCCTTATCTTTTAGAAAATAATGCTGAAATATTCTATGGATGAAATGGCATAATTTCTGGGAATTTTCAAAATAGTATAGAAAGTGGATGGGGTATTAAAGAAATAAAATTGACCATGATTGAAAATTCCTGAATCTGGGTGATGGAGGTGGCAGGGTTGACTGTACTATTTTTTCTGCTTTTTTATATGTGAAATTTTCCGTAATGAAAAGTTTAAAAATATATACACCGGAGGAAAAAATGAGTTCCCTTTGCAAAGAGATGCACCCAACTAGCAGAAGTGTTAGAGGAGAGCTGGTTGAATCATTCAAGGAATAGAAAGAGCAGCTACAGAAAGAAAATCCAAAGCCAAAGGCCTGATGAAAGAGACGAAGTGGAAAGTGTTTGAGGCTGAGCATGGTGGCTCACGCCTATAATCCCAGCACTTTGGGAGCCTGAGGCAGGAGGATCACTTAAGCCCAGGAGTTCAAGACCACCCTGGGCAACATAGCAAGACCTCATCTCTACCAAAATTAAAAATAAAATGAGAACTTAGCTGGGTATGGGGGTGGATGTCTGTAGTCCTAGCTACTCGGGAGGCTGAGGTGGGAGGATCATTTGAGCCCAGGAGTTTGAGGTTACAGTGAGCTGTGTTCACACCACTGCACTCCAGCCTGGGTAACAGATATATATGGGACAAGTGAACATGCTCAACAATATCTGAATGTAACTGGGAAAATATGGAATATGGGTCACTCTACAGGACAAATAACCTACATACGTAGAACTAGGAAATATGCATATGTCCTAGTTTTGACCGGCTTGGAAACAATGACTAACCGATAACAACATGAGCTTCCCTAGCTACTCTGATGGTGATCTGTAAATACCATTACCAGTTGAAAGGAACCAGGGTTCCTTGGGAAAATGACTGATTCCAAGTCGGGGCAAGAAATGTACAAGATCAGCCGCAAACATCTTTTCATCATAAAGCCAGGACATTATCAAAGATTACTGGGATGTGTCCAGAAGATTCAGGAGCCAAATTGAAAAGACTCCACCAGCCAAAGAAGGGATAATCTGAGCATCAAAAAATAATGATTGGCTGGGCCCAGTGGCTCACGCCTTGGGAGGTCAAGGTGGGCGGATCACCTGAGGTCAGGAGTTCAAGATCAGCCTGACCAACATGGTGAAACCCCATCTCCACTTAAAATACAGAATTAGCCGGGCATGATGACGGGTACCTGTAATCCCAGCTACTCGGGAGGCTGAGACAGGACAATCACTTGAACCCAGGAGGCAGAGGCTGCAGTGAGCCGAGATCGCACCATTGCACTCCAGCCTGGGCAACAAGAGTGAAACTCCATGTCAAAAAAATAATAATAATAAATAAATACATAATAATGGTTACAGAAATTACAGTAGATTGACATATATCAAATACATGAAAATGTCTGAATTCCTAATGATTAAAATGTAAAAAAGCCTCATTAATCATCTTTGGAGGGTGCTAAGGAATCAGCTCATTATTCTGCAAATGGGTAAATAAGGGGAAAAATTAAGCATTTTATCTCATCTCTTCTGTAGGACTGCAACCAAAGAGTTATGAGAGAAAGTTTATAGAAGTATCGTAGCATCTCCTAAAGAAAGGATGGATCTAGGCGGTGATCCTCAGTGGCTACTACAAGCATTCTGTGCAGAGCCACTGAGAACTTTATCAGTTCTAGCCAAGAACACTTGAACCTAGTCTATTTTTAAAATTTGAGATGGAGTCTCGCTCTGTCACCCAGGCTGGAGAACAGTTGGCGTGATCTTGGCTCACTGCAACCTCTGCCTCCCGGGTTCAAGCGACTCTCCTGCCTCAACCTCCCAAGTCGCTGGGACTACCGGCGTGCCCACCACGCCTGGCTAATTTTTGTATTTTTAGTAGGGACGGGGTTTCGCCATGTTAGCCAGGCTGGTCTCAAACTCCTAACCTCAGGTAATCCGCCTGCCTTGGCCTCCCAAAGTGCTGGGATTGGAGGCACGAGCCACTGAACCCAGCCTGAACCCAATCTTGATCAATAATTTTTTTTTTTTTTTTTTTTTGAGGCAAGGTCTCACACTGTCACCCAGGTTGGAGTGCAGTGGTGTGATCTCACCTCACTGCAGCCTCAACCTCCTGAGCTCAAGCGATCCTCCCACCTCAGCCTCTCAAGTAGCTGGGACTACAGTCTCTGTCTAGTAGGAGAAAGTCTACAAAGCAGTCTACAAAGTAATATGGGAAAAGGAAAATCCGTTTAGATGTATACCATAAGGCTAATTATCTCTGTGTTGTACAATTACGGGTATTTTTATTTTGCATGTGTGCTTGTCTGTATTTTTTTCCAAAATTAACATGTTACAGGTTGCACAAAAAATTGAGGTGTTTTTAAAAGTAAAACTTACCGAACTTGCCAGTCATCTGAATAAAAAGAAAAGAGAGAAAGGAAAAGGAAAAAAAAAAAGTCAAGATCATTTGGCTAGATCTTAGGCATATTTTATTAGCATATGACATCTAGTACATATTGGAAAGCAGATAAAATCCTGTCCAAGCTTGACTCTGAGAGAAACTTTCCAGAAATTTTATAAGCTCAGTCCTGACACAGAAGAGGTTCTTGGTGCAGGCTTATCCAGGGACCATGTTCGCTTTGATATTACACATAGACCATGACCAGGATCCTCGGAGCCTCTGGCAAAACATCAAATATATTAATTTACTTAGATTTTATATACTTGGCACAAGAAATATGCATTACCCTTTTACATGGGATGCAAGGGGGAGTGCACTGACTTAGTTGCTGGGACCCGGCTCCGAGCTCCCAAGTGTTGACATCTTCCTAGCAAGAGTGATGGGGGAGGGAGCAGGATTCAGAGTTTTCTGCCTTTTTCAAGTTCATGTCAAAATTTCTAATAATACCAGACCTCTGAGTGATAACTGATACTGTTGCTCCTGGGACTGCCGGTTATAATGCTGTTAGTGATGATAGGGATGAGAAATCCGTGCTTCTGGGCTTGGAGGGCCACCCCGCAGCCTGCAGTTATTCAGTGGCTGATTCAGGGTGAGTTAGAAATAACGAGACAGAGCCATGGAGGCCCAGGCCTCCCGACATTCATTTATGGCCAGGAAGGTCCTGAGCAGTCCGCATGGCAGAGTTCTCAGCACACAGTGGGTGATCAGGGACTGGCCATCTTTGGGGCTGCCAGGTCCCCTGAAAATGGCCTCAAAGCAGGGTGCTAGCGCCCATGTGAAGTTGTGCTCTCCAGTCATCTCTGAAGAGCTCAATTCCTGCTGCATCTTCTCCCTCTTCCTCACTTCCCTTTGCCTCTCTTCAGACTTCGTCTCCTCCTCCCCAAACCTGTCCCCTCCCTGCCCATTCCAAGAAGAGTAAGACTTGCCTGTTCTTTCCCCCGAGCTCAGCATCACTTCACCCTCCTTCTCTCGCCTTTCCCCCCATCTCCCCTCCGGCCCAGATCAACCCTTCCCCTGAAGCTCTGGATCCTTCCTCACTTCCACAGGAACTTAGCCGCCTCTCTTTCTTTCTCTCCACCAGCAAATGCACTCAAATTCCTACTGGTCTGAAACCTCTCCCCTCGGCCCTGCCTCCTAGGACTCTGCTTTTTCTTTCTCTTCCCTACCAAACTTCTGTCTCCTATAGCTTTTAACCTGCTTTGCCCTCTCACCATGAATTCTTCTTCCTCACTGTGGGTGGTCCACCTCCCAGAATTCTCTCCAAAATCTGTCTCCATGTACTGGTTGTATTTTTGGATGTATTTCTGCTCAACTGGACAGTGTCTCATCTCTGTGTTCCCAGATTGCAGGAACAGTGTGGGCAGCAGTGACTATTTGATGGATGCCTGCACAACCTTCCAGAGAGCTTCTAGCTCTGAGAAATTGATCTTTGCTGAGCAAATCTTGTCTCTCCACTCCTACAGCTGGCCAAATAAAGACTGACCAGGCCTACTCCCTCAGACTCAGGCTCCACTGAACAAGATCTGTCAAACCCCTCAACAGAAACCCAGTGAACAGGCTGGGCGGAGAGGGGTATGCCGGAATCAGAGGGGGCTTCCAGCCGATCCTTAGCCAAGACGGATGCACAGAAGTGCCACCAGGACTCCAGCCTGTTGCGTTTTTGTGATCCTCAACAGTCCTGTTATATTCCAGGTTCTCCAAGCCAGCACCCATGTTCCTGGATGACTCCTTTCGCAAGTGGGCTAGAATCCGGGAGTTTGTGCCACCTTTTGGGATCAAAGGTCAAGGTATGTTGGGAACCCTGACCTACATTAACATCTCACCCTCCCCCCCGACTGTCTCCCTATCCTTCAGGACAAGGCTACATCCTCGAAGTCCCCATGCTAAGAATCTACCCTTCCTCTACTCTCAACAAATCTCTACCTTTTTCCCTTCCTTTTTTCACTTTTTTGTTTTGTTTTTTTTTTTTTTTAGATAGAGCCTTGCTCTGTCTCCCAGGCTAAAGTGCAGTGGCATGATCTCGGCTCATGCAATCTCCACCACCTTTAAGATCCTCCTACCTCAGCCTCCTGAGTAGCTGGGACCGTAGGCACGCACCGCCATGCCTAGCTAATTTTTTCTTTGTATTTTTAGTAGAGACAGGGTTTTATCATGTTGCCCAGGTTGATCTCAGACTCCTGGACTCAAATGATCTGCCCAAAATGCTGGGGTTATAGGCATGAGCCACCGTGCCCGGCTTCTTCTTTAATGGAATATGTACGCAGAGCCCACTACTTTGCCAGGGGCTAAGTATACAACAGTGAAGTGGACAGATTTGGTTCCTCTCCTCAAAAAGCTCCAGTATAGCCAAGATACAGATACTCAGAGTGCAGGGTTCCGGTGAGGGAAGTACAAGGAGCTTTGAGAGCACAGGAAAGGCATGCCATAGACAGGAACACTAGAGTACTAGGCATAGTAGGGACATTCCCAGAGAGGTAAGAGACTGTCCCCCAGGAGTGCCCCACACCCCTCTATCAGCCCATCCTGATGTTTTTCACCTCAACCTCGTCTCCCTTCCAACCCTTCCTTATCCTGTCCAAGGCTAACCTTTCCCCTGCCCTCTTAGAAACTCCCATTCTGTTGCCTTGGGGACCTCACCCACACAGCTCCCTCCTAACTTAAGACTTTCCCATCCCGAGTAGTTGAACAATTCTGCTTCTTTGTCAAGTTCTGTGCTGTTTCATGGCATGGTGGAAAATAATCTGGACTTATAGGTCAGGCAGAGAGGGATCAGATCCCCATATTTCCTTTTTACTAGCTGTGACCCTGGACAAGTTACCTGTCTGTGCTTTAGTTCCTTCAGCAGTTAAATGGAGAGAATTACACTACTGTGTAAAGTCGTGGTCAGAATTACATAAAATAACAGCTAAAGGGGTGATATCATTTGGCCAGGAGACTCAAGAATACCTGAACCCTCTACTCAGCCAGCCTACCTCTCCCTGAAAAGAAGACAGTGGCCAGGAAAAGCACTTGAACTGGAGCTTTGACCTCAGACCTCCAAGGACAAATCTAATGGGTCAGGTTAAACCATATGAAGAACACCTTTTCCCTGGGTGCAGGCAGCAAAGAAGGCCACTCTCCTCTCTCAAATCTGCACTCGAGACTCAGATGGGATAGCTACAAAGGCCAGGGAAGTTTGCTGTGGAGCCCATCAGCCAGCAAGCAGAGAGCACCCGCTAATGTGTACTCTTTCTGCTGAGGTTCTCCTCCTAGAAAACAAAGCCCAATCCATATCCTTGACCTTGGCTAATTTTAGTAGCAATATGCTCTTCCTTAAAGGTGAAATTGGAAGTGGGAAAAGGAGGGAATCTGTGGCCTTTCTTAAAGCCCACCATAAGGTATATCTGAAGGCACTTAGTGTAGAACATTGCTTAAAGGTTTGTTTCCCTACCTCATTCTCACTCAACTGGAAGGATTCCCTACCTCATTCTGGAAGGATTAACTGCACCTACTGCCTCCTCTTTCTCACCATGTACTCCTGAAGAACATCTGCATCCCTGCCCATCCCACCCCACCATTCCAGTGAAACTGCTCAGTGTCCTGGAGAAATCCAAGGGATACTTCTCAGTCCTTAACATGACTTCTCGGCTACCTCTACCAGCGTCTCCACCCCTCTCCTTTAAAAAAGTATAAGTTTGTTATTTTTAATTTTGGAGCCATCTTTTCTTTACAAGAAATATTTCAAGCATATAAAAAATACTAGGAATAATAAGCATTGATGTACCTTCTACTCAGCTTAAGAAATAAAACATGAGATACAATTAAAGCTTCTGTGGAGCCCTTCCCACTCCATTCTCTTCCTTCCCCAGGAAGCCATTATTCTTCATTATCCTGGCTTCAGTGTTGGCATTCTTATGTCTTGTTTATGTATATTTGGGACAGGGTCTTGCTTTGTCACCCAGGCTGGAGTGCACTGGCACACACACGACTCACTGCAGCCTCAACTCCCGCGCTCAAGCAATCCTCTTACCTCAGCTCCCCAGGTAGCTGGGACTAAAGCACACACTAGCACTCCTGATTAATTTTTGTATTTTTTTGTAGAAACAGGGTTTAACCATGTTGCCCAAGCTGGTCTCTAACTCCTGAGCTCAAGCAATCCTCCCTCCTTGGCCTCCCAAAGTGCTGGGATTACAGGTGTGAGCCACCACACCCAGCCTTATGTATTTTCACTACATATTTATATATTCATTAAAAATATAGTACCGCTTTTACATGTCTTTAGACTTTACAAATGGTGTCATTATATGTACATATATTTGTGTATATGTGTATGTATATTCTTCATTTTTTTTTAATATGTTTTTGAGATTTATCTGTATTGAGGCATATAGCTCTAGGTCATTGATTTTTTTTAATGGCTGTATAGGATTTCATACACCACATTTAATCTGTTTTTTTTTTTTTTTTTTTTTTTTGGTGGACATTCAGCTTGCCTCCAACATTTTGCTATAACAAACAGCTCATCAGCGGACACTCTTGCATGTCTCCTGGAGCAAGCGTGTGACTTTGTCAGTGCTCCACGCCTAGGATCTTAGTGTATGCACATCTTTGTGGTTATTTGATGTTATTAAGATGCTCTCCATTGTGGTGATACCAGTTTACTTTATTTTTAGGTCTTTATGTACATTATTTTATATCTTCCTAACAACTCCACAAAATAGGAATTACTTTCATTTTAGAGATGAGGAAAGTAAAACTCAAAGAAAGGAAATGATTTATGTAAGGTCACAGAGCACAGCCGGTATTTGACTCCAAAGCCAATACCCTTGCTATTCACTATACATTATATTGTAGTGCTCTCATGATACCAGAGTTTGGAAGCGCAGTCCTCATTGCCAAAGCCAGAGAGAGGCCAAAGAGATGAGGTCTAAATAGTGGGCACAGGTCTGAGAGCACAGAAGTCACAGGGGTCCTTGCTGAGTGGAGTGCAGGTGGGCAGAGCCAGGCTCAGGGAGTAAAGACGTGAGGAGGTAAAGTCAGCCTGGCAAAGAGCAGGATTCAGGATTGGCAATGTGAGAGGGAGAAAGTGAGGGAAAGGTGATGTCAGATAATGAGGCACGTGGTGAGCTCTTCAGCTGTTGGGTGTCTCCTTGTTCGTTTCCTGGTATCTGCTGGGTGGGAACACAGAGATAAGCACAAGGTGGTCTCTAGCTCTGAGCAGGTACTCCCATTCCAGGGGAGACCGCATGCTCCAGCTTCTAAGGAAGGCCCTGGCCTAGGAATGCATGCCCTGGGGCCTGACTACAGAGCCTCAGAAAACCAGTTGAGCCTCCCAGAAGCCTGGGAGAGAAGCTGCGTGCCAGTGTTAGGGACGGGCTCCTGGCAGTGATATGCCTGTCTGTTTCCTGCCTTCACTTCCTTTGTCAGGAATAAAGTCAGGGCAGTGGCCCAACGCATCCTCGTGTCCAGAGCTCTCTCTCCACTTCCACTTTCACTCTAGCCCCCAGGAACTTGTGCCTTCCAGTAGGATTATCTGTAAACCTTTTTTTTTTTTTTTTTTTGGAAACGGAGTTTCGCTCAGTCGCCCAGGCTGGAGTGCAGTGGCGCGATCTCAGCTCACTGCATGCTCCGCCTCCCAGGTTCACGCCATTCTCCTGCCTCAGCCTCCCAAGTAGCTGGGACTACAGGTGCCCACCGCCATGCCCGGCTAATTTTTTGCATTTTTAGTAGAGATGGGGTTTCACTATGTTCGCCAGGATGGTATCGATCTCCTGACCTCGTGATCCGCCTGCCTCGGCCTCCCAAAGTGCTGGGATTACAGGCGTGAGCCACCGTGCCTGGCCTATCTGTAAACATTTTATAGAAATGGAAGTGACCCTGTAACAGAAACCTCTCTCCTCTGTCTGCAGACAATCTGATCAAAGCCATCTTGTCAGTCACCAAAGAGTACCGCCTGACCCCTGCCTTGGACAGGTGAGCCACACACTGCGCAGCCTCCTACCCACCGCTGCCTGGTGGTGTGCAGAGGTGTTGAGGTCCAGCTGGCCTTCCCTGGACATGAGCAGTTTCTCCAGCACATCCACACATGCACATACAGTACACACACAGGGTGGGTGGAGCAGGTAAGTGGAACCACTGCACCTGACTTGCACCCCCATGGGTTGTAAGCACTTGGCAGACATCCCAGTCCTCAGATACCAGAGGTTTGAGGGTAAGAACTGAAGACACTGGGGCTGGGACTAGCCCAGCAATGGGACTGAGGGCCTGGGTGGCGGGGACAGGTGAAGGGGGCAAAGCTTAAGTCCAGAAGGCAGTGACAGCTCCCAAACCAACAGACCCTAGAGTGGGAAGCGCCAGGGTCAGGGATGGGAGAAGCAAGATGAGTAAGCTCCCTAGTGACTGCTGGGAGCCTTGAGTCCTAGAGCCTCCTGTCCTGTTCCCCTTTTCTTTTTTTTTTTTTTTTTTTTTTTTTCTTTTTTGAGACAGAGTCTTGCTCTGTCACCGAGGCTGGAGTGCAGTGGTGCGGTCTTGGCTCACTACAAGCTCCACCTCCCAGTTCACGCCATTCTCCTGCCTCAGCCTCCTGAGTAGCTGGGACTACAGGTGCCCACCACCATGCCCAGTTAATTTTTTGTATTTTTAGTAGAGACAGGGTTTCACTGTGTTAGCCAGAATGGTCTCAATCTCCTGACCTTGTGATCCGCCCGCCTCGGCCTCCCAAAGTGCTGGGATTACAGGCGTGAGCCACTGCACCTGGCCTGTTCCCCTTTTCTTGCTTTCCTGGTATAGCCCCAAGCTTGGCCCACTTTTCCCTCTCCCCTGAAGCCTGCCTAAACACCACTACCCCTTGGGGAAGCTTTACCCTAGAATGCCATCTTACCAGAGCTCCCTCCTCACTACCCAGGCCTGGCACCCAAGCCTTTCCATGGCCCTGTTTTCCTGGGGAAGTGTCAGGGCCTAGAGATGCTGGAGAGTCTCAGGGCCCAGCTACCCATTGTATGCTTCAAGCCTTCTCTCAGAAATGCTGCCAGAAACCCACTGGTCTTCTTCCTCTATCCCAGCCTGGTCCTGGACAAGGGCATGGGGTCAAGGGCCAAAGGAGCAGGGGAAGAGACCTGGTGGGCAGTTCTCTGTACAGAGGTCTCCGCCTCTCTCCCCTCAGCCTCCGCTGCCGCCGCTGCATCATCGTGGGCAATGGAGGCGTTCTTGCCAACAAGTCTCTGGGGTCACGAATTGACGACTATGACATTGTGGTGAGGTGAGCTCCCCAAAATGGCACCTTGGGTGAGTGTCCTGGTCCAAACCCTTAGCCCTGAGCCCATTGAGAACTGTCTGTCTGGCTAGTTGGGCTGGAGGTCAACAGAAGCCTCAAGAACCTGGGTTGGAGGGCTTTGGAACAGACAACTAGGGGTAGCGCCTGGGGAGAATAGGTCCAGGTGACCTGGACTCCTATTCTCCGTGCCTGGGGTATTCTGGGGTCATGGTGCCTTCCCAAACACAGGCCCAGGCTCTGACTGGGCCTGCTCTCTGTAGACTGAACTCAGCACCAGTGAAAGGCTTTGAGAAGGATGTGGGCAGCAAAACGACACTGCGCATCACCTACCCCGAGGGCGCCATGCAGCGGCCTGAGCAGTACGAGCGCGATTCTCTCTTTGTCCTCGCCGGCTTCAAGTGGCAGGACTTTAAGTGGTTGAAATATATCGTCTACAAGGAGAGAGTGGTAAGCTCTCCTGGCACCACCTCTTGCCCTGGCCTTCCCCAACTCCTAAGCAGTCCCGCCCCTTGAATGCAGCAAAGAATGAGTAAGAACCTTCAAAAGAAGCATTAATGACCCAAAGCTGCAAGTCACCCAATGGCAGCCACGGGGCAGAAAGGTCAGGAGATTGCCAGGGTTGCTGGCCAAACTCTGGGGGATGATATGCCTGACACCTGCTACCTGCTTCTAGGTGCCCAGGTGCAGATCCTTCCTTAGCCTTCTGTAGTCAGACCCCAGCAGCCCCAGGGACCCTTCCCTGGCCTTAGATCTCCTGGCTGAGGAAAGCTCTTGTCTCTCAGGCCAGCCTTCGTATCACTCCCAATCCTCCCACTCTGCTGCCCTGACATTGTAGCTGCCTCCCTTGCCCCCTCTTCTCTTCTGTAAGTTCTCTCTGACTCTGGTCTTAGGGGTCCCTGCCTTCTTTCTCAGCCTGGGTTCTACAGGGACAGCAGACCCCTTCACTTGAGAGTGCCAGCTTCCAAGCTTGTAAGTCCTGGCCTCTTTCCACTTTGTACTTTTACCACTGACCATAGCTGAATCCCCAACCTGCCACTGAGTCTGATCATTGGGAATGATCAGGTTCCACTGACTGTTCAAAGCAGGTAAGGGTCTGGGCCCATTTCTTTAGGGAGCTTATGTGGCAGAGTAAGGTCAACTGCTCTTTAGGAGACCACCACTGAGTTCCCTCCCGAGACCTCTACTTCCCAGCTCTGGGCCTACAGGGACATCTGTGAACTTGTCCAGGTCCACTCCCCCACAACCAGCTGTCACCAGAAGCCCCAGGGCTGGGGTACTACAGAACTCAGGCCATTCATCTTCTAATACCCAAGCCTCTTACTAGAGGAGGATGATGACAGACGGCCCTCTGCCTACAGTGAGAAGCTAGTTGTTCTTTCTGAAGGTTTAGAGAAGAGCTGGGAGTGGGAACAGCTTCCCTTGCCTGTAGGGTCTCAGTGCAATTTGGTTTAACTCCACAGCTCTTTCCCAAGCAAGGCCAAGTACAGGCAGTGTCAAGTAGGTAGCAAGCAAGAGAGAAGACAGAAGTCAGGTCCAGAAATTCAGGTAGGTGGGACAGTGGGGAAGGGGAATCCATTTCAGAACCAGACTGGATGAGGCACCTGGGCTCCACGGTGTCCAGTCCACCTCCCCAAAGGGGAGGAAGGGGCCAGGCAGCAGAGTGATCGCTTGGCCTTAGCCAGACCCAGCTTCAAGTAGGCTCACTGCTCACACAGACCAGGTAAATAATAGTGGCTCCAGGAGTACCCTACTGTTTTTAGAACCCTGGAAACTGAGACACTAGTGTTTTCAGAGACCCTCTCTTTGCCTTGAGGGCAGTAGAATTAGGATCACAGATAGGCACTTTTAAGGGAGAATGGTAGGAAATAGGGTCTGTCCTGGTGAACCCCAGTGAGCCTAAGGGCTGCTGTCTCACTCACCCTGGCCTTCTGCCATCCTCCTTTCACATCATTTCCTCTGTCACAGCCTCCCTCAGGGCAAGAGCTCCTAAGGGACAGGGCTTGATCCCATTGGTTTTTACCCTTCAGTGCCCAGTCACCATAAATGATCTGGAATTGGCTCAAACACCAGTTCCTACTTCCTACTGGGCAGACTGGGAGAAGCCAGGCAGTTCAAATAAGGCCGGGCCAAAGGGGTGGGTCAGAGCCTGTCATGGGTGTTATCACATGTTCCTTCCAGGAACACCAAGGTCAGTTAATTCAAGGTTCTTAAAATTCATCCGAGGGAGTAAGGAAAGAAAGAAGAAAAGGAAGGAAGCCAGCTAGAGTCGGAGAACTCACTATACTCAGGCTACTCAGGAAGCAGACAGCAGAGCCTTGCTTTTCCCAGGAAGACTGAGGAGCTCTCCGCCCGGCCTGGCCTTGGCAGCCGGCAGATTCAAGGTACCAGCGTTGCAGGATGAGGCACAGGCACAGGCTCACTCTTGCTGACATCTGTGTTGTCCTGGCCACACCCAGGGCTCTAGGACCAGCCTTGCATTGGTGAGAACTGCTACCCAGGATGGGTGGGGGTGAGTGGGAAGGAGAGAGAGGAGACAGGGAGGAGTCCTCTGAATTACCGTGGGCCTTCCTTGGCTCCAAAGTGAAAGATAATTTGGACCTTTAAAGTGAGCTGCCAGAGGAATGCCGGGGTTGCCCGTGGCCTCACCTCCCCCATCTCTCAGAGTGGACCTGCCCAGGCCCTTTGGCTGCCCCAGGGACCTCTTCTTTAGTATCCTTCTCCACCCCAAGCCCAAGGCTAATGCCTTCCCAGGACCTCACCCATGCTTTGCCACACTTCCCTGGCATCTGAGACCCAGGAAAATGTGAGCGAGGCTGCTTCTCCAGGTCCCCTCCTGTCTGGTGTCCTAGTCACCAGCTTGTCCTGCTCCTGTAGGGATGTTTCCAGTCATGCCACCTCTGGGCTGCTGGAGAGCTCTCTGCACCTGTCTGGAGCCTCACCTGCAGAATTCTGGCAGGAGGCAGCTCTGGGTTCTGGAGCCAAGGCCTGGCAGGGCAGGGCTGGAACAGGAATTAGGCCTTAGTCACAGCTGCTTCCTGCCACTTACTACATGAGGAATATGTAGTAAGCCTATAACTTTCTAGTACCCAGGAGTCCTCATAGGATATGGGAAGGGGCAGGGCAAGGGGAAAGATGTAGGAAAGGACGGCCAAACAACCCAGAGCTAACAGCCTGTGCCAGAGCTGGCCTTACTTTCTTGCATCTGAGAACTCTCCTCTTCATTTGTGGCCATTTGGGTCCCTGACTCACTGGACAGTGGCACTGATAACTCCAAACAGGTTACACAAAGGCCTTTTGTCTCCCAGATCCCAGGAGCTGTGGCCAAGCCAGCAAGCAGGTGTAGGAGTTCCCAGCAGGCTGTGTGCTCAGGGCAACTCAGAAGAGCACCAGTGGATGGGCAAGCACAACACAAGCTGAGGCTTGGAGAGAGGGTGGAGCCAGGGACATGGGGGTGCAGCCTCCAGCTCCGGTGCAGGCCTTCTCAGAGGTGCCTCTGCAGTCTTCCCAACACACTCACTCACTTATCAGATGTTCATGAGGTATTCTCTTTGCAGGCTCTACACTGGCCCCTGGGAATACAAAGAGGAATTAAGCACTGTTCCCAACCAAAGTAGCTCACAGTCTAGTGGGAGAGAGAGTCCCAGAGGTAGAGTTAACAGTACAATGTGGAGGCTGCCATGATGAGGAAGGCCTAATGCAGCTCTGGGGCAGGTGGGGGACAAAAGAAGGCCTCCTGGAGGAGTCACTCCTGAGCTGGACCCTGAAGGAAGCGTTAGGAGTGAGTGGGCGAAAGGAATTAGAAGCAAAGGGAACAGCATGTGTAGACCCAAGAGACCATGCTCCCTTCAGGAAACTGGAGGTGTGTTGTGTGGATCAAGCATGGCACAATGAGGGTGGTGTGGCAGAGCGTGCTGCCTAATACCCCCAATGCTGTGGCCTGTGCATCCTCTTCCTGGTGTGGGATGAAGGCTGGAGGCCTGGGGTCTGGAGAGGACAGGACAGGTGAGACGCAGAGCCTCCCATCCCCATCCCTCAGGCCCCGCCCTCCTGCCTTGGCCAGTCTCACCCACTGCGTCTCAGCAGTCCACAGAAGCCCCTGGGAACTGCCTCCTGACCCGATTTGCTGCCTCCTCTTCCTCCTCCCCACTCAAAACTGGGAAGCCAGCCTCGCTGCTGAGCATCTCTGACTGGTCATCAATTCATTGAGGCCCTGGGGCCTAGGCTGGGTGGGTGTGGGGTGGTCCCAGCCTAGCAGTGGGGAGAGGATAGGGCTGGGAGTGGGTCCCTGGACAGCCTTGACACAGCACTTACCCTCCAGCTGTACTTCAGTCCCTGGGAAGAGAGGGAGGAGGGCAGGATCTAAGAGACCAGCCAGGGCCCCACATTCAAGCACAGGGAGACTGAGTCCCTGATTTTAGAAAGACAACATGGCTTAAGAGGGGAAAGTGGCTTAGGCCTTGGAGATACACAGATGTGGGTTTAACTTTAGACTCTCATTTACTAGTGGGCTACCTCTTAGGCACTAAATCTAACCTCCTTAGATTTAGTGTCATTGATACAGTAGATGAGGAGTGCTGTGTATCTTTCAGGGTTATTTTTAAAATTAGATAAGATGAAATCTAGGCGGGCGCAGTGGCTCAAGCCTGTAATCCCAGCACTTTGGGAGGCCGAGATGGGTGGATGACGAGGTCAGGAGATCGAGACCATCCTGGCTAACACGGTGAAACCCCATCTCTACTAAAAATACGAAAAATTAGCCAGGCGTGATGACGGGCGCCTGTAGTCCCAGCTACTCGGGAGTCTGAGGCAGGAGAATGGCGTGAACCCAGGAGGTGGAGCTTGCAGTGAGCTGAGATCCAGCCACTGCACTCCAGCCTGGGCGAAAGAGCGAGACTCCGTCTCAAAAAAAAAAAAAAAAAAAAAAAAAAAGATGAAATCTAGAAGCATCTAGCATAGAGAACTTAGTCTATAGCAAATAGTAATGTTATTTATTTATTTATTTATTTTTTATCGCTGGTGGTGATTTTGCTGTTAGAAAAGCCCAATTATCCCAGGGAGCAAAGCACTTTTCTGTCAGGCTGTAGGGCTTGACCTAGGAGGTGACCCAGAAGCAGGGGTCAGAGGCCAGGCCTAGAGGAGGGAGAGACAAGGAGCCTCCTAGTGAAAGGCAGCCGGGCTGGACTAATCCATAGGGCAGAAGGGGCCACCACATCCCCAAATGTGAGGCTTCTTATTGGACCAGGCCCGAATGGGGATTGAATGATGTCCACCTGCACCTTCACCTGTTCCCTGCGCTTTCACCAGCCTGAGAGGGATGCAGAGCCTTAGTGTGGACTCTGTCCTGGGAGACTCAGTGCAGGCCTCCTGCTGCCTAGCCAGCATTCACCACCCAGCCCAGGCTTCTCACCAAGCCTCTGAGACCAGCTCTTCGAGGATTCTCCACCATT